CATATATGAGAAGAACATAACCCGTGTCATGCCAACAACTGGTTTTTAAATAAATGTGTTTAGTGCCGATGCAAAGACCCTATAAGTGAATCAATATTAACGCCAAAATATGCAATCTTTAATAACCTGACAACAGTAACTATATATCGTAACTATATCCCTTCTTAATAAGTCTATTTAAAGGTTTTGTTAGCTTCAGAGGTGAATACTGGCATTTTTGTGCTTTATAAAGAATATTTCCATAAAAAATTAAATGTGAAATACCTGAACGTATAAGAAGTCTGCATGTTGAGCTATATTTACGAATGATGTCCTTATACCGATGATAAAATTTAGTAAATGTTTTGACTAGTTTGTGATATCGAAAACCCTGGTGTAATAATTTTTCAGTAATACATAAATTTCTCTCGTTAAAATCTAAAACATTGTTACATACACGAGCGAATCGTACAAGTTGAGATATATAAACACCGTAAGATGGTGACAAGGGAACGTCACCATCTAAAAATGGATAATTAACGATAGGAAATGAAAAATCATCTCTTTTATCATATATTTTAGTATTAAGCTTTCCGTTAATGATATAGATATCAAGATCGAGGAAAGGGCAGTGGTCATTGTTAGTATTAGCTTTATTTAAAGTAAGTTCAACAGGATAAATTTCTTTAGTATACATACTGAAGTCGTCATTATTGAGAGCCAAAATATATTCCAAATATCTAAAAGTATTATTAAATTTGTGTATCAGATGTTGTTTCGATGGGTCTTTGCTGATTTTTGTCATAAATTGTAACTCATAGCAATACAAAAAAAGGTCCGCAATAAGTGGTGCACAGTTAGTCCCCATTGGAATTCCGATGACCTGACGATATACGGAATCTCCAAAGCGAACAAAAATGTTATCTAGTAAAAATTCAAGGGCATATATAGTATCAAAGCATGTCCAATTGACATAGTTTTTTTGTTTATTGCTACTAAAAAATGACCTAAAAGAGTTTGAACATATATATTCACATTCTGACTTTTTAAATGCCCATTTAATTAGGTGTGTGAATTTTTTCTTAATAAGAATGTGAGGCAATGTGGTATATAGGGTAGAAAAATCAAAACTTTGAACAGATTCAAAATCACCAATATATGCATGCAATTTATCAAGTACTTCCAACGAGTTCTTGACACTCCAAAAGTAATTAATTCCACTATTTTCGAAGGCCTTATTTGAACAATTTATTATCAGGTTTTTGATTGTACCAAGTGTACTGGTAAGAAGTATAGACAATTTAGTAGTGGAACAATGGCTTGAAGACGAAATGAATCTATATTTGTAAGGTGTTTTGTGTAGCTTCGGAAGCCAATACATAGTTGACAATTTTTTGTCCACATTGAGGTCAAAAGGGTCCAAAATTAAACTTTGTTTGATTTCATCAAAAATTGAATTCTTGGGGTTCTTTGATATGCTGAATCTAACCATGTATTAAGATTTTGGATATTGGACCATAATAGGTGAATGTCCAATTTAAAATTTTTAAGTTCTTAGACCACATTCATTCTGTGTCAGAAACCTATGCTGTGTCAAATATTTAATCACAATCCAAATTCAGAGCTGTATCAAGCTTGAATGTTGTGTCCATACTTGCCCCAACTGTGCAGGGTTCGACCTCTGCGGTCGTATCAAGCTGCGCCCTGCGGAGCATTTTATTTTTAAAATTGGAGTTATCTTCCTTTGTCCATGATTATAGTTAAATCAACTACAATCAATGCTTTATTCAATGCAATGTTTAATTTTGACTTCCAATGATAAAACACAGATCAAGTTGAATTTGGGTAGTACATGTCACTTTAACCATTATTGAGATATGCCCCTTTATAAATCGAAAGATTGCAAAATTTTTAGTTTCCATTCTGTATAAACTTAAGTTTGCCCCAACCAAACATTATGAAACCTTTACACAATATTCATTACCACAAAACTAAGATCAAGTACAATTTTTTTGTTTCCGTTTTCTAACTTTAGTTTGCCTCGACTAAATGTTATGAAACTTATACTATTATACACAATGCTTATTACTACATAAAACAAATTAAGTACGAAATTTGGTGGCAACATTTTTACCATTCTTGAGTTATGTCCCTTTATAAACATAGAAATTGCTGAATTTTTTAGTCTGTCTCAACCAAATGTTATAAAACTTATGCACAACTGTTCTAGAGTTATGCGTGTTTACAAATAGAAATATTGATCAATGTTTAGTTTCTGTTCTGTTCTTAAGTTAGCCTCAACCAAACGTTATGAGACTTACACGCTATGCTTATTACCACAAAACTCAGATCAAGTTCAAATTTGGGAAGCGTCACATTTACCCTTCTTCAGTTATGTCCCTTTATAACTATATGATATGCAAGTGGGGACATAATCTGTGTCCACATGTGGACACTATCCACATTTACTTTTGAACAGTTTCTTTAATTGTATACCCAGGTACAAATTGAACAATATAAAAAATAAGATACATATGGCCCTTAATGTATTATAGTAAAAACCAAACATTGTAGCACTGGGAGCGAACAAGCACTTCTCTTTCAAATCTCACCACTTCTCCCTCTCAATTTCAAAAAGAGAAGTCACTTCTCCCTATGATTCTGAAGTAGTGTGAGCCCTGATTTCTAGGGCCAAAACCGGCTCCTACTCCTTTGCAAAGTACTCCTTATTTTGCTATCTGTATATATATGATAGGTTAAAGGTTGATATTTATGTTGTGACATAATCAAGACATAACAAATGTATTCATATGAGTTATAACTTAACAAAAATGACACAATTGTCAAAATGATAGGAAAATAAAGGTTTACTGTGAGCGCATTTCTTTCTAACAAAAACGATACAAACGGTTCAGCGAGCACACGTTTAGAACATTTGTTTCTTAAATATGTTTGCAAAGTTTGAATACACTTTAACAAACTATACAAACGATGCATTACAATGGGTATATTCTGCCCCTGATTGACTACTGCTGTATTATTTTGGGTGAATGTAAAAATTAAGGGATAACAAGAATTTTAAAACTCCGAAAAAGGGCAGCAAGATTAATTCTAGATGCAGATCCTAAATCCCCCTCAGCCCCCTTATTTAAAGAACTTGGGTGGATGACAGTTGACAATATAGAATCAAATACCACAAATATTTATTTCTATATAAATGTATGCGCATGGAAGCACCAATGTACCTAGTTCAAAAGTTTAAACTGAAATCAGATAATAATCCTTACTCATTGAGAGGTGTCACTCAAGGTAATCTGATGGTTCCTAAGCCAAAAGCTGAGCTATTTAAGAAATCTTTAGTTTATTCTGGATCAGTGATATGGAATGGACTACCACACAAAATGCGTAAAACTCAAAACACTTATACTTTTAAACAAAGTATCAAGAAGTACTTAACACAGTCCTGATAAGATTATGTTTTCTACAATGTATTTGTATATTCTTTTATTTTTATTTTTATTTGATTTTTTGACTACATGTGCATCTTGCACAGTCTTATATCTTATCATTTTAGTAAAATTAAATTGAACTAATTGACTGTAAATTAACTATGTGTAAATATCTGTTTTTGATTGTATTGTAATTTGTATGTGAGGGCCTCAGGGAAGATTAGTTTATTGTAACTAACTGAGTTTATCCTCTTTAAATAAAGAATTTATAATTATTATTATTTCTTTCTAACTTTAACATTAAATCAATTATCTAAACGTATTTTTACACGAAAGAAAGAGGTATGTTCTTGCTTATCATAACTCAAAACAATGTCTAAAATTACTCAAATTTAGGTATTAACCTCTTTTCTTTCATTAAAATAACACCAATGAAAGAAAGGGGGCGGCGTAATACCTAAATTTGAGTAATTTTAGACATCGTTTTTAGTTATGACAAGAAAGAACATACCTCTTTTTAAAAAAGGCTTTATCATCTCTATATATCTTCATACATCCTTCTGATTAAGATGAAGAACTGCCACTTAAATTAAATATGCATAGAGGAGCGATGTCCTCTGTCATTGTCTGTGTCTATAACATCTTCTACGGAGGCTATCTTCTACGCGTAATAAGTTCAAATACCAACAACATGTACACGTGTATACCTTTTTGACAGTTCAAACAGGGTCAGTAAACACTGATTAAACGAGGCATTTGTTTCTACTTTTGTAACGTTTAACAAACGGCACACAATGTTTACCAAACTTTGGTTAGAAAGAAATGCACTCTAAATAGGAAGCGTAATGCACACATACAAGTATATATAAATGCAAACTTTGAAAGAGAGACCAAAGATACCAAAGTCCCTTAAACTGATAATGCCATGGCTAAAAAGGGAAATAAGATCAACAGGCAAACAATTAATGTACAGTATACGTATAGCAAAGAAAGCTGAAGACTTAGCAACATGTATCCCGCAAAAAAACTGATCCTGCTCCCAAGGTGCTTATAGTTATTTATAAGGATAATATAATGTGTTAAACGTGTTTGTTTTGTTTATTAGCATAAACATGAGAACCCAGTTAAATCATAATCAGTTTGAAGATTTCTATTATGATAGGGGCCTCTGTGGCTGAGTTGTCTAAGTAGTCAAAATACTGTATCACTAGCCAGTCAACACTAAGGTTGTGAGTTTGAATTTTGCATGTGGCAGGTGCGCCCACCTCCAATCTTAATTGACTAGAATTGTTAATTTTCCTAGGGAGGGTCTAGGGTGCTCTCATGGGTTTCTCTGGCTGCCTCCACTAACAAAAACTGACCTCCATTTAATAGCATAATATACAGTGTTGTAAGTGGTGTTGAACACCAATTCATCTATCATTTGTCTATTCTGATATTTGACTGTGTTTTAACTTGGCTAGACATTATGATCAATTTAAATGTTTTGGGTAAATATATTATAGTTTATATTCATAGATAATATATATTTAGATAAGACTGTCAACTACCAAATGTCTTTTTATTTTTTAGGCAAAGTTAGCCTTACTGTCAAAACATGCGAAACAGACCACTGAAATAGGAACCCAAATACAAATATTTGACACAAATGAAATGGTTACATCTCCTGATCATACTAATAACCAGCCAACACCGATTCATAGCAATGATAACAGTCAAAATGAATACCAGCCAACACTGATTTATAGCAATGATACCAGTCAAAGTGAATACAAGCCAACACTGATTTATAGCAATGTTAACAGTCGATGTGAATACCAGCCAACACTTATTCATAGCAATGATTACAGTCAAAGTGAATACCAGCCAACACCGATTAATAGCAATGATAACAGTCAAAATGAATACAAACCAACACTGATTTATAGCAATGATACCAGTCAAATTGAATACAAGCCAACACTGATTTATAGCAATGTTAACAGTCGATGTGAATACCAGCCAACACTTATTCATAGCAATAATTACAGTCAAAGTGAATACCAGCCAACACTGATTTATAGCAATGATGACAGCCAAATTGAACACCAGCCAACACTGATTCATAGCAATGATAACAGTCGAAGTGAATACCAGCCAACACTGATTCATAGCAATGATATCAGTCAAAGTCAATACCAGCCAACACTGATTCATAATAATGATAACAGTCAAAGTGAATACAAGCCAACACTGATTCATAGCAATGTTAACAGTCAAAGTGAATCCTCACAAACACATATATATGTATATGGAGATGAACCTTTAACCTGTGGCATATGTTGTAAAGGGTTTAATCAAATGAGACTCTTACGCGTACATATGAGAACACACAATGAAGACCAACCTCATAAATGTGATATTTGTTCTAAAGAGTTTAAGGGAAAGAAAAAATTCCAGATACATATGAGAACACACACAGGAGAACAACCTTATAAATGTGATATTTGTTCAAAAGGTTTTATTGGAGAGACAAAATTACAGTTACATATGAGAACACACACAGGAGAAAATCTTTATAAATGTGATATTTGTTGTAAAGCTTTTGGATGTAGAACCTCCTTAACAAGACATAGGAACAAACATCATGGTCATCTACAGAGCCAAATAGAACTAAGCGACCAAAAAGTTGCAGCATTAAAAAACAAACTACGGGAATTTTTCAGAAAAAGTATTGGAAAAAAACCTGATGAATCTGGTGAAGTTAACACGATGGCTAATGTCAGAAATGTTTTTGCCAATGGTCAGGATCCAACAGGAACTAAAACTGCAAATGAACAAAACAAATATATTGTGAATGATAAAAGCTTTAGTCAAGATAAACAGTCATTACTAAATAAGAGGAAAGAGACTTCTGATAACTTACCTTTTACATGTGAGATATGTGGTAAAGGGTTTAAGGGAGAGATAAGATTACAAGTACATATGAGAACGCACACTGGAGAAACACCTTATAAATGTGATATTTGTTTTAAAGGGTTTACTCAAAGGTGCACCTTAGCTAACCATATGAAAATACATGCTGTTCATTGTAAAGTATGTGATTTTGCAAATTGCCAATGTCATTTACAGAAATACTCGCCAAAAGGTGAATTTGCTGCATCAAAAAACATACTACGAAAGTTTTTAGTAAAACAAACGGAAATTAAACCTGATAAACATAGTGTAAATAACACAATGGCTAATGTCAGTAATCATTTAAGCAATGATCAGGAACCTAAAAGAACCGAAACCTGTGGCATATGTTGTAAAGAGTTTAAGGGAAAGAAAGTATTCCTGATACATATGAGAACACACACAGGAGAACAACCTTATAAATGTGATATTTGTTCTAAAGGGTTTATTGGAGAGACAAAATTACAGTTACATATGCGAACACACACTGGAGAAAAACCTTATAAATGTGATATTTGTTGTAAAGCTTTTGGCCGTAGAACCTCCTTAACTAGACATAGGAACATACATCATGTACATCATGGTCATCTACAGAGCCAAATACCAAAAAGGGACATAAGAATTAATGCAGCATCAAAAAACAAACTACGGGAGTATTTCAGAAAAAATACCGGAAAAAAACCTGATAAATCTGGTGTAGATATGTATTTTAGAAATGTTGTTGACAATGGTCAGGATCCCACAGGAACTAAAACTTCAAATGAACAAAATATATGTGTTGTGAATGATAAAAGCTTTAGTTTAGATAAACAGTCATTACTACCTAAGAGGAAAGAGACTTCTGATAACTTACCTTTTACATGTAAGATATGTGATAAAGGGTTTAAGGGAGAGATAAGATTACAAGTACATATGAGGACACACACTGGAGAAACACCTTATAAATGTGATATTTGTTCAAAAGGTTTTATTGGAGAGACAAAATTACAGTTACATATGAGAACACACACAGGAGAAAATCTTTATAAATGTGATATTTGTTGTAAAGCTTTTGGATGTAGAACCTCCTTAACAAGACATAGGAACAAACATCATGGTCATCTACGGAGCCAAATAGAACTAAGCGACCAAAAAGTTGCAGCATTAAAAAACAAACTACGGGAATTTTTCAGAAAAAGTATTGGAAAAAAACCTGATGAATCTGGTGAAGTTAACACGATGGCTAATGTCAGAAATGTTTTTGCCAATGGTCAGGATCCAACAGGAACTAAAACTGCAAATGAACAAAACAAATATATAGTGAATGATAAAAGCTTTAGTCAAGATAAACAGTCATTACTAAATAAGAGGAAAGAGACTTCTGATAACTTACCTTTTACATGTGAGATATGTGGTAAAGGGTTTAAGGGAGAGATAAGATTACAAGTACATATGAGAACGCACACTGGAGAAACACCTTATAAATGTGATATTTGTTTTAAAGGGTTTACTCAAAGGTGCACCTTAGCTAACCATATGAAAATACATGCTGTTCATTGTAAAGTATGTGATATTGCAAATTGCCAATGTCATTTACAGAAATACTCGCCAAAAGGTGAATTTGCTGCATCAAAAAACATACTACGAAAGTTTTTAGTAAAACAAACGGAAATTAAACCTGATAAACATAGTGTAAATAACACAATGGCTAATGTCAGTAATCATTTAAGCAATGATCAGGAACCTAAAAGAACCGAAACCTGTGGCATATGTTGTAAAGAGTTTAAGGGAAAGAAAGTATTCCTGATACATATGAGAACACACACAGGAGAACAACCTTATAAATGTGATATTTGTTCTAAAGGGTTTATTGGAGAGACAAAATTACAGTTACATATGCGAACACACACTGGAGAAAAACCTTATAAATGTGATATTTGTTGTAAAGCTTTTGGCCGTAGAACCTCCTTAACTAGACATAGGAACATACATCATGTACATCATGGTCATCTACAGAGCCAAATACCAAAAAGGGACATAAGAATTAATGCAGCATCAAAAAACAAACTACGGGAGTATTTCAGAAAAAATACCGGAAAAAAACCTGATAAATCTGGTGTAGATATGTATTTTAGAAATGTTGTTGACAATGGTCAGGATCCCACAGGAACTAAAACTTCAAATGAACAAAATATATGTGTTGTGAATGATAAAAGCTTTAGTTTAGATAAACAGTCATTACTACCTAAGAGGAAAGAGACTTCTGATAACTTACCTTTTACATGTAAGATATGTGATAAAGGGTTTAAGGGAGAGATAAGATTACAAGTACATATGAGGACACACACTGGAGAAATACCTTATAAATGTGATATTTGTTTTAAAGGGTTTACTCAAAGGTGCACCTTAGCTAACCATATGAAAATACATGCTGTTCATTGTAAAGTATGCCATTTTGCAAATTGCCGATGTCATTTACAGAAATACTCACCAAAAGGTGAATTTGCTGCATCAAAAAACATACTACGAAAGTTTTTAGTAAAACAAACGGAAATTAAACCTGATAAACATAGTGTAAATAGCACAATGGATAATGTCAGTAATCATTTAAGCAATGATCAGGAACCTAAAAGAACCGAAACCTGTGGCATATGTTGTAAAGAGTTTAAGGGAAAGAAAGTATTCCTGATACATATGAGAACACACACAGGAGAACAACCTTATAAATGTGATATTTGTTTTAAAGGGTTTATTGGAGAGACAAAATTACAGTTACATATGAGAACACATACTGGAGAAAAACCTTATAAATGTGATATTTGTTGTAAAGCTTTTGGCCGTAGAACCTCCTTAACTAGACATAGGAACATACATCATGGTCATCCACAGAGCCAAATACCAAAAAGGGACATAAGAATTAATGCAGCATCAAAAAACAAACTACAAGAATATTTCAGAAAAAATAACGGAAAAACTCCTGATAAATCTGGTGTAGATATGCATTTCAGAAATGTTGTTGACAATGGTCAGGATCCCACAGGAACTAAAACTTCAAATGAACAAAATATATGTGTTGTGAATGATAAAAGCTTTAGTCTAGATAAACAGTCATTACTACATGTACTACCTAAGAGGAAAGAGACTTCTGATAACTTACCTTTTACATGTAAGATATGTGATAAAGGGTTTAAGGGAAAGCTAAGATTGCAAGTACATATGAGGACACACACTGGAGAAACACCTTATAAATGTGATATTTGTTTTAAAGGGTTTACTCATAGATGCACCTTAGCTAACCATATGAAAATACATGCTGATCATTGTAATGTATGCGATTTTGCAAATTGCAGATGTCATTTACAGAAATACTCGCCAAAAACTGAATTTGCTGCATCAAAAAACATACTACGAAAGTTTTTAGTAAAACAAACGGAAATTAAACCTGATAAACATGGTGTAAATAACACAATGGCTAATGTCAGTAATCATTTAAGCAATGATCAGGAACCCACAAGAACTGAAACTGAAAATGAACAATTTATATGCGGTGTATGTGGTGAAATCTTTAGTGGGGATACAATATTAGTACTACACATGAAAAAACACGCTTGTGATATAACTAACACCATGGCTAATGACAGAAATGATATTAGCAATGATCATGATCACACAATATCAAATACTGATCAAGATAACCATGATCACACAATATCATATAATGATCAACATCACCATGATAATCATGATCATGATGATCACACAAATTTTAATACTGATCAAGAGTTCACAATATCATATAATGAGCAAGATCACCATGATCACACAATATCAAATACTGATCAAGATTACACAATATTAAATACTGATCAAGAGTTCACAATATCATATAATGATCAAGATCACCATGATCACCCAATATCAAATACTGATCAAGATCACACAATATTAAATACTGATCAAGTGTTCATAATATCAAAGAATGATCAACATCTCCAAGATCACACAATATTAAAAACTGATCAAGAGTTCACAATATCAAAGAATGATCAACATCACCATGATCACCCAATATCAAATACTGATCAAGATCACACAATATTAAATACTGATCAAGAGTTCACAATATCAAAGAATGATCAACATCACCATGATCACACAATATCAAATATTAAAATTGAACAATTTTTATGTGGTGTCTGTCGTAAAAGCTTTAGTGAAGAGAATAAATTACGACTACACACAAAAATTACACACAAATCATTATTATCTGTGATCACGTGATGAACCTGTTAGACCATGTGATGAACCTTTTATATCACGTGATGAACCTTTTAGATCATGTGATAAACCTTTTAGATCATGTGATGAACCTTTTAGATGTAACATATGATGTAAATGAATTTAGGTTAAATGGAAAGTACAACTTACAACTACGTGTAATACCCGAAATTAACCTGACGAAAATGACAGATTTCTAAGCAAATGTACAATTTAACTGGTGTTTATTTGATGTACTCTAAAATAATTAAAGTATTATTTTTTACCTTTTGAAATTGTAAATTTATCAATTAAAAACTCTTGTATATATGATAGTTTTTGTCTCTATGGTCTCACCTGCAATAAACATGATAAAAGGCACAGCATGCCAGACAGAGGTATTACACAAAAACTAAAACTGAAAACGAACAATTTATACTATGTACTATGTTGTAAAATCTTTAGTGGCGATAAACAGTTATTACTTCGCATGAGGAAACACACTTGTGAATTAAACCTTTTCAAGTGATTTTTATAGTTCGTTCTTATGTTGTACTGTTACACCACTGTCCCAGGTTATTGGAAGGTTAGGATCCCGCTAACATGTTTAACCCCATTCTGTATGTATGTACCTGTCCCAAGTCAGGAACCTGTAATTCAGTGGTTGTCGTTTGTTGATGTGTTACATATTTGTTTATCGTTCATTTTTGTACATAAATTAGGCCGTTAGTTTTCTCGTTTGAATTGTTTTACATTTGTCATTTCGGGCCTTTAATAGCTGACTATTCGGTATGGGCTTTGGTCATTGTTGAAAGGCGTACGGTGACATATAGTTGTTAATTTCTGTGTCATTTTGTCTCTTGTCGAAAGTTGTCTCATTAGCAATCATACAACATTTTCTTTTTATACGACCGCAAAAAAAATTTGTGGTCGCGTATTGGTATGACGTTGGCGAGCGGCGTCGTCGTCCGAAGACACATTGGTTTTCTCACTCTAACTTTAGTTTAAGTGAATGGATCTCTATGAAATTTTACCATAAGGTTCAATACCACAAAAGGAAGGTTGGGATTGATTTCGGGGGTTATGGTACCAATAGTTAAGGAATTAGGGGCCAAAAATAAGCATTTTTGTAACTTCCAGACATAACTTGTGTGTTAGAGTATGGATCTCTCTGACATTGTACCACAAGGTTCCATATCACAAAGGGAATGCTGGGATTGATTTTGGGGGTATTTGTCTAAAAATTTGAGAATTAGGGGCAAAAAAAGGGGCAAAAAACAAGCATTTTTCTATTTTCATGACAATAACTTGTGTGTAAGTGTATGGATCTTTTTGAAATTGTACTACAAGGTTCCATATCACAAAGGGAAAGCTGGGTTTGAGTTTGGGGGTGATTGCCTTAAACGTTTAGGAATCTGGGGCCAAAAAGGGGCCAAAAAACAAGCATTTTTCTAGTTTCCAGACAATAACTTGTGTTCAAGTGTATGGATCTCTCTGAAATTGTACTACAATCTACCATACCACAAAGGGAAGGCTGGGATTGATTTTGGGGGTAATTCCCTCAAAATTTTAGGAATTAAGGGCCAAAAAGGTGCAAAAAACAAGCATTTTTCTAGTTTCAGGACAATAACTTGTGTGTAAGTGTATGGATCTTTATAAAATTGTACTACAAGGTTCCATATCACAAAGGGAAAGCTGGGTTTGAGTTTGGGGGTAATTGCCTTAAACGTTTAGGAATTGGGGACCAAAAAGGGGCCAAAAAACAAGCATTTTTCTAGTTTCCAGACAATAACTTGTGTTCAAGTGAATGGATCTCTCTGAAATTGTACAGCAAGGTACCATACCACAAAGGGAAGGTTGGGATTGAGTTTGGGGGTGATGAATCATAAGGGGGTTCAAAAAATTTGGGGGAGGGATTTTATTTTCCTTTTTTTCCTTTTTTTTTTTCTTTAAAATTTTCCATTTTAAATTGGTTATTTCTGATTTATATATAAAAGCAAATAATAATGATATGGTTTGAATAGGTAAATTAAATTTTTTTAAGTTCTTAGACCACATTCAGTCTGTGTCAGAAGCCTATGCTGTGTCAAATATTTAATCACAATCCAAATTCAGTGCTGTATCAAGCTTGAATGTTGTGTCCGTACTTGCCCCAACTGTTCAGGGTTCGACCTCTGCGGTCGTATCAAGCTGCGCCCAGCGGAGCATTTTATTTTATATTGTAATAAACGTTTTACATAACATGTGACATATGTTACAAGATACAACTTACTAGTACATGCATGACATATGAGAATACATACTGGAGAAAAACATGGAACTTGGACATACGTTTTAAAAAGTTTATTGAAGGGGGAAGCTAAAATACAGATACATAGGAGAACCCACTCACGTGAAATATCTTATATATGTGATGGGCATATGAGAACATACACTGTTGATAAAACCCATAAACGTGATGTATGTGATGAAAGAGTTCAGCTAAATTAATGTGAGAGCTTTAATGTATGAGGCGCCGTTTTACTATTTATTACCTATTTTCTGATATTAAAAAATGATGAAAAGGTACATCCAACCTACTGAAAAGTTTCATTACTTCACAGAAAAAGCTCATATGTATTTAAAAGGTTTATGGAAGACGCGGTTCATAAGAAATACTAGCAGTCTCGTAAAAAGACGAAATAGACAAATCTTTTGAAAATACAAGACATGCATTTTTTTATGTTGTTGTTGGCTTTGAACTAGTCAAGTTGTCACTATCACATCTGTAATTTGTGTCTTTTTGTTGTTGTTACCCTGCCACGTTTGTTCTTACACTATGTTGTAATGTAACACCAGTGTCCCAGGTTAGGGGGAGAGTTGAGCACTCAAACATGTTTAATCCCGCCACATTCTTTATGTGTCTGTTCCAAGTCCGGAGCCTGCAGTTAAGTGCATTGTCTTGGTTCATAGAATTGAGAATGGAAATGGGGGGAATATGTCAAAGAGAAAACAACCCAATCAAAGAGCAGACAACAGCCGAAGGCCACCAATGGGTCTTCAACGCAGGGAGAAAATCCCGCACCCGGAGGTGGTCCTCAGTTGGACCCTAAATAAAATTGTGTACTAGTTCAACGAAAATGGACGTCACACTAAACTCCAAAACATATCAATGAACTAAAATAAAAAAACATACAAGACTAACAAAGGCCAGAGGCTCCGGACTTGGGACAGGCGAAAAAATGCGGAGGGGTTAGACATGTTTTGTGAGATCTCAACCCTCCCCCTATACCTCTAGCCAATGTAGAATAAAGAAAAACATAGCAATACGCACAGTAAAACTCATTTTAAAAGATGTCCGAGTCCGATGTCAGAATAGGTAACAAAATAAACTAAGCAAAATGACAATGATACATAAATGAACAAAGGACTACTAGCAGTTACTGACATGCCAGATCCAGACCTCAATTAAACTGATTGAAAGATTATGTCTTCATCATAAGAAAATCAAGTACAATCCCTCTCGTTAGGAGTTTAGTATCATACCATCATAGAATCTATGAGAAGAACTAAACCGTATCATGCCAACAACTGGTTTTAGAATAAATGTGTTTATTTCCGATGCAAAGACCCTATGAGTGAATCAATATTAATACCAAAATATGCAATCATTAATGACTAATTGACAACAGTATCGTAACTACCGGTATATCCTTTCCGAATAAGTCTGTTTAAAGGTTTGGTTAGATTTTGAGGTGAATGCCGACATTTTTGTGCTTTGTAAAGAATATTTCCATAAAATATTGGATGTGAAATACCTGAACGTATAGGAAGTCTGCATGTTGATTTATATTTACGAATGATGTCTGCCATATTTGTTTTACGTAAATTGTTTTGGTATAAATCATTTAGGCCTTTAGCTTTCTAAATTGAGTTGTTTATTTCTTTTTCATATTGGGGCCTTTTATAGGCGACTATATGGTATGGGGTTTTCTCATTGTTGAAGGTCGTACGGTTGCTTATAATTGCTTACATCAACTTCATTTGAACTTTGGTGGCTAGTTGTCTCATGGGCTATCATACCACATCTCCTTATTTTTAAACTTAACAGAACTAACTTACTTACTAAATCCTCAACATAAACAACGGGAAAAAAATTATAAAAACAAGATGAACAAAACACTGGGGCTTGATATTTGCAAAAACCTGACTGCACAAATCTGTTTAAGAGGAAACCAATAATTGCTTATAAAAGAAGCGAGAACTTACAATTGTTGACTATAAACCTTAAAATAATAAATATGTGAAACACAAAAAACACAAAACTTCCTATATTAAGACTGATGAAGCCGAACTCTGATATATGCTTTCGTATATATTACACGACCGAAACACCAGACTTAATGTAAGGGCTCATTGGTGAACGTTGATGCTTTTATTGACACACAGGGAGCAATCGTTGATATTTTTCTTATTTTCTGATATCAAAACATCATTTGATATCAGGAATTCGAATTTTTGATATCAGAAAATGGATTTCTTGATATCAAAAAATCGAATTTCTGATATCAAGAAATAAAGATTATCTTCTGATATCAAGAAATCGAATTCTTGATATCAAAAAAGGCATTTTTTGATATTAAAAAATTGAATTCCTGATATCAAGAAATATTTCCTGATATCAAAAAATCATTTTTTGATATCAGAAAATAAGGAGTAAATAGTAAAACGGCGCCTCATATTATTGGGCATATGAGAACGCACACTGGTGATAAAACCCATTAACGTGATGTATGTGATAAAGAGTTAAGCTTTTGTGAGAGCTTTAATGAGCATGCACAAACTGGTGATAAAACTCATAAACGTGATGTATGGGATAAAGAGTTCAGCTAGTGTGAGAGCTTTAATGGGCATATAAGAACACTGGTGATTAAACTTATAAAAGTGATGTATTTGATAAAGAGTATAGCTAATGTGAGAGCTTCAATGAGCATATGAGAACACACACTGGTGATAAAACCCATTAACGTGATGTATCTGATAAAGAGTTTAACTAATGTAAGAGCTTTGATGGGCATATGAGAACACACTGGTGATAAAACCCATTAATCTGATAAAGAGTTCAGCTAATGTAAGAGCTTTAATGGGCATATGAGAACGCACACTGACGATGAAACCCATACACGTGATGTATATGATAAAGAGTTCAGTTAATGTGAGAGCTTTAATGGGCATATAAGAACGCACACTGATGATAAAACCCATTAGAGTGATGTATGTGATAAAGTGTTCAGTTAATGTGAGAGCTTAAATGGGCATGTGAGAACGCACACTGGTGATAAAATTCATTA